GATGATATTAAATATACTAATTTAATAATATATATGTAACGTAATGACAAAACAGTGCCCACCAGGATGGGCAGCTTTCTGTATTTATTGTCAGTGGGGTTCTGTCTTTTAATATGGTTATCAGTGGGGTTCTGTATTTATCATCAGTGGGGTTCCGGAAAATTTAATTCATTCGAGTTGTTGAGTTCCAAGGCCATATGGTTACGCCCACCGAAAGGAGTTGTCAGGGCCATAAAAAATGATACAAGTTTACAAGTGTATTTAATTTAATTGTTAAGAATTAATAATTATATAAACCGTTAATGATAATAGCTAGAATATGTGATATTTATTGTTTAATAATTTAAAATTAAATTATAAAATAATATTTTTGAGTATTTTAACAATTATAAAAACAGATAATATTAGATTAATTAAACTTATATATTATATTTTGTATAGTCCCAATAATTCCTTAAGTAGCCATGACAATGTTTTAGAGTGCATTAGGAATTACTGTGAAGTATTATAGTGTTATGGTTATATCTGTAATTATAATTGTATTGGATTGTATTGTATTGTAATTATGAGTGAAAGTTATTTTAGTATTTAGTTATTTATTTTTTAAAAACATTATTTTAGGTTTTTTATAATGAGTATTTTTTTTTTGTTTAATTTTGTAAAAGAACTCATAAGAAGGGAAGGAGTAAAATTTTTTTATAAAATTTTCAAATAAATAAGATATTAAGTTTAAATAAAATATTATAAATTATGATATAATTAAATTAAACAAAATTTGATTTTAATGAATAATTTTATAATTATATTAAATATTAAATGTTATTTGTGAAAAACCACAGTTAAAACCCTTAAAAATGAGACTTTTAACTTTATATATAAAAATACTATGACTTTCTGCTGTGATTTTTTTATAGTTTTAAAAAAATATATTTTGAAAAAAATTACAAAACACAAATTTATTTAAAAGTACTATACAACTACAAAAAAAAAAAAAAAAAATATATTAAATATTAAGTGTTATTTGTGAAAAACCACAGTTAAAACCCTTAAAAATGAGACTTTTAACTTTATACATAAAAATACTATGACTTTCTGCTGTGATTTTTTATAGTTTTTTAAAAAATTACTTT